CTGCTCTGTTCAGGGAACTTCCTTACTCCCGCCATCTAGATGACAGACGACTCTCCTCCACCTCAGCTTAGTTTCCCATCAGGGGAGATTCTGCCCTGCCCCACACAATCCAGAAAGCTAGGCCCCTCTACCATGTTTGACTCTAGTATAGCATGCTCACTTGCTTTTGGTCTGTACTTACTTGATTTATTATCTGTTCCTCACAATGAATTCATTTACCAAGTCTAGCATACAATATTATCTGCCATACAGGAGAGCTTCAACAAATATTAATAAATATCGTAAAAACCTTCCACAGTACAAATAAAAAGTGACTTTCACTGTATTTATCTCCGGGTACTAAACATCAGAAAATCCCATAGTTTCACGTAGAATACATTTTAACACTAGTCATTCGTTTATGCTAAATGTGGTCCTTCGTTATCCGCTCACAGCACTGGGAACCACTCAAAAAGACTACACAGGTACTACTTGTTATGCCTATAGTGATTTCAAAGAAGACTGTAAGCACTAGAAAGCCTTGGCTTCTAAATCTGTATGATTAATTGTGCTGTGTGTACCTGTGTGTTGTGTATACAAATGTGGGTATACCTATCATGGTGCACAAGAAGAGGTCAGAGGAAACTCTTGAGAGCGGACTTTCGTTCCATCCATGGGATCCGGGTGCTAAAATCAAGTCACCAGGCTTGCACGGCCAACACCATTGCCCACTGAGCCATCTTACTGGCCCAATAAACTTTAACTTTTCAGACTACTTTACTAATTGAGACTAATTTACTAATTTACTTTAATGCTAATTTGCCTTTCCAAGGGAACCTCACCTCCACCGCCTCAAGTGTTCTCCACTCAAGAAAATGCTGACTGTGTGTCCCTTACACATCTTCCTTATTTTTCAGCATTTCATTAACTGCAGGTTTGCAAGAAGTCTACAGAATGAAACAATGAAATTTCATAAAAACTACAAGGCAAGTTCAGTGGTCACAGCCAACTCTGCAGCACAGGCTAGAGACGCTGTGAAGACATCGACATCAAACGGTGCACTGTGGAGGAAGCCATCATGTGCACAAAATTCTAATGCACACCGAACTGCATGCATACACACAAAATTACATACATACGTATGGAATCTAACTACATATATAGATAGATAGAGATCCAGAACTTAAAACTAGTGTGTGCAAAATTTAAAAATTTAACAATTTTTAAAATTATATTAATAAATGCTTTAAAATAACTAAAACTGAGTAAACTGTTAAACAACTAAGAATACATTTTCAGAAGTTTCATAAGATCACAAAGATTAATTTAAACAAAATGTTCAAAATGGAATTTTATAAGTATGCATGAAGTATGTTTTTAAAATAGTGTCATGTGTACATAAAGCCTAGGAAGCAAAGGGAAATGAAACTTTAGTGAACTATGGATCAAATTACTTGGCAGTATTGAAAACTTACAGTTATAATAGCCAAAGAACTTGAAGTACAGTAACCCCAAATTCCCACTTCTCCCCTGGTGAGGTCAGTGTCTTCACTCCAGTCATACTGCTCTAGCCAAGGAGCTAACAATAGCAGACAGCGACTGTGGGCACCAGATCCAAGAACTTTCCTCAACAACCTTACTATATGAACTGCAGAAGCTTGAGAATCACCTGACCTATACACAGACTGTGAAATACCCTCCCCCAACCTGGGCTCCCTTAGGCTGCACCCCTCAAGCTGTATGCCAGGATTTTAGAAATGCCTTTGTTCGGTCACCCGCTACCGTAAGAATCTATCCATAAGTTCCAGCACAAATATTTTGGTCTCAAAGTCTTATTCACTGGCCAATGACACTAAATTATTAAAGAATGCAGGTGGAACTAACTGCATAATCAGCAGAAAGGAAAGCTGTGTATGAAAAAACTAAAAATGGGAAAATTAGCACGTAGAGGTTCGGAATGGATCCATCAGGTAATAAACCACCTCACTCGGCAAATGAAGGACGCAGGTTTTTAAAAGATAGTTTTCTGTTTTCGAGAGCTTGAGGCTTTCAGATCTCATTATAATTTCAAGGGAGCAACAAGCTTGGTACAGACACAGGCAAAGCTGCAGGCAGGGAGCTAGAACTTGGCACATTGGTTCTTAAAGCCCCTATGGAAGCGAAATGCACAATATAGGACAGAGTCCTTAAGGGCTCTCACTGTTAAGCTCAGAGATCAGATGGTGAAGTTATAAATATTCCACTAAAGATTTGCAAACAAGGAAAAAATTATAGAAGCAATACGCTAGCATCTGCACAGCCAAAACATTCTGGAACAATTTTCACAAGGCTTGGGAACAGTAACACAGTTCTGAGACTAATGATGTAGGCTTAAAATTCAGTATTTGGGTCTTCAGGAATTGTCTGAATATTTGCTTGGAAGTAGTCACAGCAGAACATCACCTGGTTAGCAATGCTCTTTCACTGTAAGGAGAGCCGATTACCATTTTTGAAAATGAAAGACAGTGGTTTCCCTTGTTCAGCACCAGTGTAATACATCGCAGAAATCAATATGTCTGCGATGCAAATACATTTCTCCTCACAAAGCCTTAAAATGCCGTTCCCTAATCAAACAAGCTGGGTACAGCTTTATAGTATCATCTGTCTCTCCCGTTCAAAGTTAGGTTTAAACCGGGAGACACCACAGCATCAACGCTTGAAGAGAAAGGACAAAACCCAAAGCAAACTGACAACTTCCCACAGCACCCGAAGCACCAAAGGGAGGCAGCCAGAACCAAAGAGGACGCTGGACGCTGAACAGAAATGCAGCTGTACAAACTAATACATCCTTGTCAGCCTTCCAAACTACAACGGGCAAAACACAGGCAAGGAGACAAAGTCCAGATGCTACTGTGAGAATCTAAGAAGTACTGACGTTCCTCCCCAGGAGCCAAACCCCACTCCCTCCTTCTTCCTGGTTCTGCCACTAAAAACTCATCATAGCAGAAAGCTAGAGCCCTGTCTCTTTCCCACCCTTACAGTCAGTGGAAACCAAGACGGGGGCCAAGAAAGCCCCTGAATTTTATCTGGTGGCCCCCTCCACCACCTTTGGCAAAAGGTAAGGTTTCCTCTCCATGAGAAACTGAGTGAGGAATTTGTAATTTCATTTAGAGACTATTGGAATCTGAAGATGGCTCTACCTAAGGATGGATCTGTAGAGAATCCTTTGTCTACTACTGCTCAAATTCCTCTTCCTAGCTCCAACTCCTCCCATTTATAGCCTGGCTTATGCTCCCAACAGTTCAAACTGGCATCTCTATTCTGTAAAGTCTTACTGAAATCAAGAGTCCATACCACAGGGTTTAACATGCAATTGTTTTAAGCAAACTCTTGGTCCTGATAGTCAGACTACTAAATCGGAACTTAATAAAGTTTCAATACAAATTAAAGAGTCTTTAGTAAAGGAGTAATATTACCCCAAGGCATGGGTTTCTTAAACATTGACATCTGTATCCTATATTGGTCTCGCTATATAACCCAGTCTGGCCTCAAACTCAAAATCACCCTCTTGCCTCAGCCTTCTGCTGCCAGGAAAAAGTAAACTGGTCCAACTTGGGAAAACAACCAAGAATTAACTTGTGGTATACAAGCATGCTCAACAGACTACCTTTTATACATCAGGCACAAACTAAAAAAAATTTCTTGCATGAGCATACTAATAAAAGCATATAACAATATCATGCAAGTGTTGTTTGACCAGCCAACACTTTTCTGAGATCTTAGCAGCCACTAAATTTATAATACAGATCCCTTTGAGGAATGAGTAAAAGGCACAAATAAAAATATTTTAATGTTAATTCTTAAGCTGAGTATTGGGTATAAGGACACCACCACTAATGCTTATAACCTAAACATATGGCATATGGATCTTTCATTCAATATGTTTTTCTAGTGCTGGTGATCAACCATACTGGCTCATACATGCTAGGTAAGCACTCTCCCTCTAAGCTATCTATACCCAACCCTAATATTTTATTTTTGAAATATGAATGGAAACCTTGTTTCTGTAATGGCTACTACAAGCATATTGATCATGTGAAAAGTAAAAAAAAAAAAAGTCAAAGGAAGACATTTAGGTTTCAGAGGTTTCTAGAGAAATAAATAGGGTCTCAGAGCAAGTGACCACAGCAAAATGGGACCTGGACGGCAGGAACCAGCAACTCATTCACCAAAAAGGCAAGTAAACCTGTGCGATGACATTCAGATTTTAACACAAAGGCTAAGTGCTTTCCAGGCTGAGGACCCCTCTAGGACAAATGGAACTTGGCAGGGCTCTGGAAAGTGGGCGTGCCTGTGGATTATCCATGGTCACAGAGACTAGAATACCAGGCTTAGGGCCAGGCTTGGGAGAGAAGCTGAAGAATCCTCAATAAATTCAAAAAGAACCAAACTGGGCCACAAAGCTGACTCTGCAATGGCACTGACCCAACACGGAGACTGTAGGTCAGAGGTCGAGCCTCTCATTTCCTCTACATCGTGTCTCCCGGGTAAATCAGAGCCACCTGCCACGCGCTCACGTCACGCAATATGGTTTATGAAGCAATTACTTCTTTTTATAGCGAATAGATACAGATCAGCTGAGGCATTCTATTTAAACGTCTAGTTAGAAGGGACGGTGACAGCTCAGTTCTACCGCTTGAGTTCTGCCATCACTTCCTGTCACTGTGGGTTATGGGGGAAACAGTTGTCAACATTGTAAAGCCTGGAAATACTGTTAAAAGTAAACATTAATTTCTGTTTATTAGAGGCACATGTAATGAAAGTATAACAAGACAGGTTTAGCATGGGCCTTGTGCAAAGATGGGATGATAAAGTTAATTTCTACCCATTATTACCTTCAAAATACACTATTAAAATACAATGTTCTTTCTTAGGATGCTCAAACTATAGCTTCATGACCCAAATCTTTCCAGAAATTGTTTCCTACCTAGTTTTTAGATACCATAAATTCACATGGATTTATATAGTTAAAATCATCTTACCTGTACTTTTTTTAAAGCTACTGGTACTCCATCCAAGAGACAGGATGCTCTATAAACTTCACTAAATTGTCCACGGCCAATTTTCTTTTCTATTCGAAAGTTGGCTAAGGTATTATAGCCCATATCCGGTCGTAGTGCCTTCTGCAATTAAAAACAGTACAAAAAAAAGTTTCAGTTACACAATACACACAAAGACGTGACTTAAAGGTATGGTATACATAACATACTACCTAGAGTAAAGTTGTGAATAACTCACGCCAACAATACTGAAGACACAACTTCTGCCCTGGAGGAACTCACACTATAGGGGGTTTGTGTGTGTGTGTGTTGGGGGTAATAAGCTGAAATAGACACAGCATTTAAGAATGGGAAGGTTATCAGGTGAAGTGTCACACCCCTTTCATCTAGGCACTGGGAAGGCAGAGGCAGGTGGATCTCTGAGTCCAAGGCCAGCTTGGTCTACAGAGTTTCCAGGACAGCCAGAGCTCAATAAACAAAACAAACAAAAGAAGGAGAAGGCTGTAAACATAGCAAATCAAAGGAAACAGATAACAGAGGAGGAGAAAGGTTTGAAATCTTAGGGAAGAATTTCCTGTCACTCATCTTTAGTCCGCTGCCATAAGCCAGTCTCAAACATTCTATTTGTGTAGTGCTTATTCTCCTTCTCGAAGATTCTTGGAACTGAAACACACACCACTCCCCCTAGACTTGCCCGCCAGACACACAGGGGGTTCTGTTTCTTACTTGGGAAAGTTGGCTGCACTGGACCACAAAGGTGGAGGGAACAGAAGCAAGCAGGGTTCGGATGACTGGATACAAATGGAAACAGCCCTCCGGGAGGTAGACAGACTTCGGTGAATCAGCTCAACCTTATTCCAGAGTATAAGGAATATATAGGATTGGGGAGCCTGGGGACAAACTCTGATTAGCATTAAGTGGTAGGCTCCTTTCACAAGGCTTTGTATGTGGCAGTCAGCCTATCAAAAAGAGTAGAACACTTGCCTAATTACCATGTGGGTCATCAGGGGAAGAGCCTTTGCAGGGGACTGTGTCAAGAGTCATCCCTGAGATAACTCAGGCATCCGGGGCCTGGAGACATCCTTCAGATCACACTGGGTAGAAGGGAGGAATCTTTGCAGGGAGGGAGCTTTTGAGATAAGAAGCAGCTAGGCTAGGAGGAGACTGTGATCTCCACTAGCCAGCAAGGTCTCCCAACACACACTACACATGTAATCACTTATTCTAAACTGTCCACTAATACACGCAACAAGTTTTAAATTCCTGAAAGTTTTTTAGTTTCTGAAAAACTAATAAACTAGCTGAATAAGTAAATAAATGAATGAATAAAGAAATATTGCCAATGGCAAGAAGTATGCCATTATATTATTATATTTTTAAATAATATTTTATTGTCTTTGTGAATGAAGAGATCACTTCATTCTTTTTTAATTGGAAATCCCTTTTAAATTTGTTAGACAATGCATTTTGACCATAGTCTTCCCTTTCCCTCCAGCCCTCCCAGTCCCTCTGTTCACTCACCCAACATGGCCTTCTCTCACTTTCTTGCTCGCATAAAAACAATAAAAAAGAAAACAAAACCAAATCCCCAAAGACAAAAGACCACTGAGCCATAGCAACAACAACAAAGCACACACAAAATAACCATGGAGTCCATTTTGTGTTGGTCAACGACTTCTGAGCATGGGGCCTTCCCTGGAGTGCGGTTGGTACACTGAGTGTCATTCATTCCACTGAAGAAAACAGATTGTCCCTCTCCTAACAGTCATTAATAGCTTCTTGAGTAGAGGGAAGGTAATTTCATTCATAACTAATATGTCTTCTACTACTGCTAATCAGTCAAAACCCAGATGAATCAGAAACATTTTCTGCTTTCCCACAGCTTCCCAAAACACATAGAAGAGTTCCACATTGGACCATGAGTGACGCAATCATGGTATCAGGGAGATACACAGTGACAAGGCTTAAGAAAAACTCTACTTACAAATTCTTTTGTTGGGTTGTTTAACTCTACCACAGTACTAATATAACTAATTCATGGACCAGTCAGTCATTTGAGCAATCAGTTAACAACAAAACTAAGCATTAGTGGAACACCCAATGCCCTCAGATGCTGTCGTCTGTAGGGGTTATTACCCTACCCATGGAATGTTCCTGTTCATCACCTTAGTAACTCTAAATATATATAACATAATAAAATGGTCTGTTTAGCAATCATATGCCCTTCCGGGGAGCAGGAGAGCTTCATAATATTTTCGGTGTCTTTATAAGATTCCTGAATTAGTGTTGAGCACATGCTTGCGCCCATCTCTCAGCCTTAGTACTTGTAACTATGAGCTAAGGTCTCATAAACACAGCATTCCAGTGGGCCTGCCTCATGCATCCTTTAATGAACGGAACAGTAAAGGCCTATTAATGCATCCAAAGACGGCATCCATTCGCAAACAAATTATATGCAACTTGAACTCTTAGGCCTTCAAAT